AGAAAGGGGAAGGGGATAAAAAGGGGAAGGGGATAGAAAGGGGAAGGGGATAGAAAGGGGAAGGGGATAGAAAGGGGAAGGGGAAGGGGAAAGGGAAAGGGAAAAGGATGAGAATGAGAAGAGGAAGGGAAAGGGGAAGAGAATGGGAAGGGGAAGAGAATGGGAAGGGAAAGAGGAAGGGAAGTGAAGGGGAAGAGGAAGGGAAGGGAAAAGGAATGGGAATGGGAAGGGAAGGGGAAGGGGAAAGGGAAGGGAGGAAGAGGAGGGTGAATGGGCTGCACGGTCGGAGCTCTGGGCACCTCCCGGCTCCTCCCGGCCCCTCCCGGCGCTTCCCGTCACCTTCCAGTCCCAGACGCTGACGCGGCCGTCGTGCTGGTGGCCCACGGAGACGAGGAGGGCGGCGTCGGGCGCGAAGGCCACGCAGGCCACGCCGTGCCGGTGCCCGCGCAGCTCCCGCTCCGGGCCGGCCGCTGCCCCTGCTGCCGGAGGCGTGAGCTGGGAGGGGCCGGGAAGCGCCGGGATGGGGATGGGAATGGGAATGGGGATGGGGATGGGAAGCACCTCGCCGCTCGCCAGGAGCTTCCCGTCCGGGGAGAAGGCGACGGCGCTGAGCGCGTTCCTGGGAAGAGAGAGGGATTGGGGAGCGTGGCCAGAAGCAGGGTGGGAATAGGGAGGGAATGGGGGGATAGAGAGGGAACGGGGAGGATGAGGAAGGAATGGGGAGGATAGGGGAGGAATGGAAGGGATAAAGAGGGAATGGAAAGATAGGAAGAAAATGGAAGGGATAGAAGGGGATGGAAGGGAGAGGGAGGAAACTGGAGGAATAGCGGGATAGGGAGGGAATGGCGATGCTGGGAATACCGGGAATTGTTCAGGATGTGGCGCTGCGTGTTCTTCTGGGGGTCCAGGATGACCACGACGCACCTGGCAAAARACAGAGAAGCGGGAGGGCGTTTTTCCCTGGATTTCGGCTTCATAGGGAGGGGCTAGGAAGTTGGGAGCGCTTCCCATAGGATGTTTTTACGATAAAAGAATGGGTTTGAAAGCGGGAAAAGCCCAGAATTGGGTCAGGCCGTCCGAGCGCCCCCTTTTCTCGCGGTTTTGGGGGCATTTGGGGCATTCCCAGGCAACTTCCCAGGCAAATTCCCATCGGGAAGCGAGCGCACACCCTGCCAGATAGGCGACGTTCCCGCTGACGGGATCGCAGGCCAGGCCGCTGCTCGACGCCGTCGTTATTCCCAGCACTCGCTCCAGCACCACCTGGAAAGGGCGAAGGGGTGGAAATTCCCCAAAATCCCATTTTTAAATTTATTTTTGGGGTATTTTTGGAGGGTTTATCCCATTTGGAGCATCCCGGTTTGGGGTAACACGGGTTGAATTGGTGGAGCAGAGGCCCCGCCCTCTTTGCAAGCACCACCCACACAAGCCCCGCCTCCCCAATCCATCTACAAGCTCCGCCCACATCTCGAGGATGTTCCCAAGACCCCACCCCTCTTTAAGCCCCGCCCACCGCTCAGACCACGCCCCAGTCCCCACTGTATCTACAAACTCCGCCCACCTCCTGAGGGCTCCCCTAGACCCCGCCTCTATAAGCCCCGCCCACCATCCACATCCGCCCCCGGGGGCCCAACCCTCTTTGCAAGCACCACCCACACAAGCCCCGCCTCCCC